AGTGCTCAACTCACTCGGCCCAGTCCTCCGAGCAACCTTCAGGACAGCCTCAGGTCCAGTCCTCCTCCACCGCCACAAGATGGCGGCCAAAACACGACACAACAACAACCTTCCTTTCAAAATCCTCCGACAGGTAATCTCCTCCCAAGCACCGCCGTTTCTTCTGGTCTCGCCGCTTCTTCTGGTCTTGGTTCCCTCTTCTCCAGTCGACTTTTCCGATCCAGCCCAAGTAGCGTCGCTTCACCCGAACTTCCGACAGCCTTCCCTCGCCAGCCATCTCACTAAAGCCACCTCGACGGCCATCACCAACGGTGAGTACGTGGACTTTGCTACCCTTTTACCAATGACCTCCCTTCTCACTGACTCCATCCATTCCCATCTTAACCTTAAGGTAGGCGATCAGGGTCTAACTATTCCCCTTCCCTCCTCCTCTAAACGCCCCAAAATCACCTCCATCGATCGATGGCTCGATGCCTTTGCCATCTATTTCGCCGTTATAGTGTCGGTATATCCCTCTCGTGCCGCGGATTTAATAGCCTATCAACAGTTGATTCGTGATGCGGCACGAAAGTTCCCTGGGATGGCTTGGTATGTCTATGATGTGGAATTTCGAAGGCGTGCCTCCCATAACCTTTCTGCCAAGTGGGGGGAACGGGACGTCCAGCTGTACCTCGATACCTTCACAGGCCTCCCCAAATCGGGATGCCGATCTTGCGGCAGCACTGATCATCTTTCTGATACCTGCCCTTTATCTCCCCGTAGGTCCCGGGATGCCCTTACCCAATCCGACCTGTGCTACAACTTTAACAAAGGCCGACCCTGTGCTCGCACCCCATGCCCTTACCAACACAGGTGTAACCAGCCGGGATGCTCAGCAGCTCACTCTGGGGAAGATCACACTAAACTCACCCGCCACAGAGAGGACAGACCTAAATCGTCTTCAAGCTCTGGCAATTCCTCCCGAGGACACTCCTAATTACCTCTCCCAACTGACCCCTCCCACCCCCATTGACATCAACAAATTTGCATCCTACCTTCAGGGCCATCCAGATCACACAACAGTTAATCATCTTCTCACAGGGTTTTCTCAGGGCTTTAAGATCGGCTATTCAGGTCCAAGGGCCCCCAAGGAATATTCTAACCTTCCCTGTGCAAATATCAACCCATCTATTATTGACAAAAACATGCTAAAAGAGGTTACCGTGGGCCACACAGCAGGGCCTTTTCACATCCCTCCCTTCTCCAACCTGCAGGTATACCCCATTGGGGTCATTCCCAAGAAACACTCTTCGAATGGCGTACCATTTTCCATCTCTCCTACCCCAAACACCGCCCCACCAGTGTCAATGCCCACATTCCTCCCGAATCCTATTCTTTGCAATACATAAAGGTGGACCACGCAATTGCCATTCTTCAGGATCTCGGTCCAGGCTGCTTCATGTCCAAACTAGACATAAAATCAGCATTTCGCAATGTTCCCGTCCACCCCTCTGATTGGGAACTTCTGGGTATGAAATGGGAAGGGCTCTATTTCTTCGATATGGTCCTCCCCTTCGGTCTCAGGTCGGCCCCCTTCCTTTTTGATGAATTCTCTTCTGCAGTGGAATGGATCATTCAAACTAAACTTAATATCCCAAAGGTTATCCATATACTAGATGATTTCTTTTTTGCTACCTCCCCTCCCAGATCAAAATGCATGACTGCTCTATGCCAAATTTTGCACCTTTTTACAGATCTAAATATCCCCATAGCTCCTGGGAAAACCTTCCCTGCATGCACATGCCTTGAATTTATGGGTATCCAACTAGATTCCAAGAAAATGGAAGCCCGTCTCCCGGTGGATAAACTCACCCGCATTCAGGAAGCCCTTGGTCAGTGGACTACTAGGAAATCTGCTACCCTACAGGAGCTACAGTCTCTGATTGGCACCCTTCAATTTGCTTGTAAGGTTATTGCCCCTGGCCGCCCCTTCTTGCAACGCATTATCCACCTTACAAAGGGTATCAAGTTCCCCCATTGGCATATTCGCCTTAATTCCGGTTTCCGTAAGGACATTTCTATGTGGCAGCATTTTCTCCAAAATTGGAATGGGGTGTCTCTCTTTTTAGATACCCAGGCCACCTCTCCGCCGGAGCTTCAGCTATACACTGATGCTTCTGGTTCCCTTGGGTATGGGGGTTTCTTAGCAGGGGAATGGTTCCAGGGCCACTGGCTGCCCCACCACACCCTCAGCCAAAAAAGGGGTATTAGTATTGAATGGCAGGAGCTATTTCCCATATACTTGGCCTGTATTTTTATGGGGCCCCGCTGGTCCGGCAAAAGAATCCGCATGTGGTGTGACAACAAGTCAGTGGTGGCTAGCATAAACTCTAAACACTCCAAGTCCCCCGGTAATGGACCTTATTCGAGCAATCACACTTCAAACGCTCCAATATAACTTTGCGCGTTCACAGCTACTCACATCCCGGCTTAGCCAATTCTATCGCTGATTCCCTTTCCTTTTTCAGATGGACCGCCTCCATTCCCTGGCTCCCTCAGCCTCTCCCACAGCCTCCACCATCCCTCCATCAGCAATGAACATCTGAGAGGTTCCATTAACGATACCTTCATGCTTCCCTTGCCCCTTCCACTCGACGCACCTATCAAGTTGGCGTTAAGCACTTCCTCACCTTTACACTCATGCATGGTTTAGTAGGCCCCTCAAACCCCCCTACCAGCCTCAGAGATAACCCTGATGTATTTTGCATCTCATTTAGCCAACACAGTCTCCTATGAAACAGTCAAGCTGTACTTGGTGGCAGTGCAGGACCTTCATCGGGAGCTTAACTTTCCTCTTAAGCTCAATGACATGCATAGGTTACAAAAGGTCCTTACAGGCATTAAGCGCCTCACTCCTACCAAGCGGCTTGACCGTTTTCCCATTACCCTCACAGTTCTCCATTCCATTCACTCCTACCTTAAGCCCGAACTTTCCTATAACCTGGACCATGTTATGCTTTGGGCGGCCTTCACCCTTGCCTTTTTTGGGTTTTTACGATCCAGTGAATTCACTTGCAATGGCCCCTTCGACCCCTCTGTCCACCTCACCTCCAAGGACATCACACTGGTACCCAACTCCCACTCACCCAGCCACATGCTAGTCCACATCAAACAATCTAAAACTGACCCCTTCAGACAGGGCCACACAATCACCATTGCAAAGTCCTCGTCACCTATCTGTTCGGTGATGGCCATGAAAGACTATCTCCTTCAAGTCCAGCCACCATCAAGCCACCCTCTGTTTGCTTTCGTCCAACCCAGACAATGGCTTACACGGAACAATCTCACAACAGAGCTTAGGTTAATTCTTCACCAATGTGGCCTCCCTGCCAACAATTTCTACTCCCACAGTTTCTGTATTGGAGCCGCCACCACAGCAGCCAAAGCTGGCCTTCCACCCTGGCTTATTAAAGTTCTAGGCCGCTGGAGCTCAGACTGTTATGAACGCTATATAAGGACCCCTAAATGTACCATTTTAGAAGTACCTAGACTCTTAGCTAATAGTAGTCCATAACTAACGTCAGGACAGCCAGTGTTGTCTTTAACTTTCGTCAGATCACTTGCCAAGTCTCATAGGAGCGGAAGGTACAGCTCCCTCTTCTTGCAGGAGCTCGACTTTATTCGCCTTCTACTGTGGGGGGATTGTGTCCCCTGTCTCCCCATGCTCCACAATCCGTGGCAGGGAAGTGCAACCCCTGGCTGCACTTTACCCCACAGTAAGGCTTAGCCCTTGGAGACAGGTCCGGAAAAAATATCCACTCCAGGGTGTGGACCCCCGGTCCCACCTGATCTGTACTCCACCCAGGAGGGCCACCCCTCCTGGTTCCCCTCAGTTCCTGTACTGGGGGATATGGGCCTCACCCCCGGAGACTGATCAGGACTCCTGTCCAGGGTGGCTACCCCCGGTACCACTCGATCTTGTCTCCCCCCAGGAGGGCTTCTCTCCTGGTCCCCTTATCCCTAGATTTAAGCGCTTCCCTGCCACCAGAATTTTGCCCATTACCCTCTGTGTGTTTTCTATGTGGTACTGACATAAGCAGTTATGCGGGAAAAACACTGCCAATTGGAAGAGTTTATTAAGTTCAAGTTTATGGTAGCATAAACTGTTGTTAATAAACCTGAGAATGATGCCCTATGAAAGCACACTTAGGGCATACTAGCAACAATCATATCTTGGTTCTTATGTCACACAACGTGAACATTTGTATAAGCTTTTGTACTCAGTAATGGTAGATACTAGTTCAAAGTACAAGAAAGAACAATGAACACTAAGTAGTTGTTTGATTACAATGTATCCTTCTTCTTTGGCAAAGTCCACTGTAATGTAGCATGATATATTCCTAGACTCCACAAAGGTTCCATTCATATTATCACATGCTTATCATGCACGTGTGCTCCTCTTTTTGCCGCACACTGTCCTTTCCCAGTCAGTTCGTTTAGAGCTTCGGTTCATTCACAACAGCGTGTTTTCCCTCCCACCCACCCCTTTTTTCTGACTGGAACCTTTGTTCAGTTCTTCGATTACTTCTTATGTGCCCTATATATTTCAAATCAAATCAAAATCTTTACCTCACTTCGCATTCCAAAAGATAGCATCAACTAATGCTCAGATCTCCGAAGGTATAGCAAAAACAAATAGAATATAAATGACACTGGTAATTAGAATAAAGTAATACTATATATTAGGTACAAGTTTACGATAATGCAGAAACAAGACAATTATTTTATACAGTGTGTCTACAGTACCTAGCGATAATTAAAACTAATTACAAAGTAGCAGCATTCATTATGACTTATTAATGCTCTTAATTTTTTGGATTTGAAAACGTGTAATGATGCAGCAGTCCTAATTACCTCTAGGAGCATATTCCAATATGGGCTGGCAGAGTAGCAGAGTAGCAGTATTTAGCACGACCAGAACATATTTTAAGCAGATCATTACCTTATTCCCTCTATATATATATGTATCCGTAAGATTAATCATTTATATTATGGTGTTATACTCGACTAGGTCTGATTCCTTCATTAGGTTCCTGGGATATGAAACTGCTGTCTGGCTTCCAAATAAAAGGAGTGGCAGGGAAGTGCAACCCCTGGCTGCACTTTACCCCACAGTAAGGCTTAGCCCTTGGAGACAGGTCCGGAAAAAATATCCACTCCAGGGTGTGGACCCCCGGTCCCACCTGATCTGTACTCCACCCAGGAGGGCCACCCCTCCTGGTTCCCCTCAGTTCCTGTACTGGGGGATATGGGCCTCACCCCCGGAGACTGATCAGGACTCCTGTCCAGGGTGGCTACCCCCGGTACCACTCGATCTTGTCTCCCCCCAGGAGGGCTTCTCTCCTGGTCCCCTTATCCCTAGATTTAAGCGCTTCCCTGCCACCAGAATTTTGCCCATTACCCTTTGTGTGTTTTCTATGTGGTACTGTCATAAGCATTTATGCGGGAAAAACACTGCCAATTGGAAGAGTTTATTAATATACAGTATATTAGCAGGAAAGGCTTTCGGGTTTGTGTCAAAGAACTGTATGAGGCAAAATACGACCCACTCTTCATATCCTACATAGTTTTGTCAGGTAAGAACTTTACTGCTTAAAAGGGAAGATTTTTTACGGTATATCGTTCAATATTGTCTCTTATTTGTGACTCAATGCCGTGATTTATACGCACAGATATCTGTCCAGATGGATGGGATTACTTCAATGGATACTGCTATTTAACGAGCTCTGTATGCGCACCTTGGGTAACTGCAGTGTCCAACTGTTCAATGATGAACTCACATCTGGTAACAGTGCACAACCAAGAGGAAAATGTCTACATACAGCACCGTCACAATGGCGAGCGATCATGGATTGGCCTTAATGACCGAAGCGTTGAGGGATCGTTTTTGTGGACAAACAAGGAAATAATCCGTTTTCAGTACTGGGCTCCGCAACAACCAAACAACTTGAAAAACGAAGACTGTGTCCACGCCCTTGGTGCAGAGCATGGCTACACTTGGAACGACGTGTCATGTGATAAATGCTATAACTATACTTGTGTTAAAGGCAAGTTTTTAGTTACCATAGAAATACTACAAATCCAAACCTTTGTCACCAATAACGAGGTTTGAAGATCACTTGTGCAGTAGTGAGTTTGTATGATTTTATCGCCGTGTTGTTGATCAGAATTATATAAAGTCTGCATTTTTATGTAGCAGTCTTCCAGGCAGTAGTCTTAATATTTAGGTAAAGGTAACCCCTGTACTTATCACTCTCAGTTGTTCCAAAAAATCTTCATGTGAATGATAATACTGCTACCAAGTAAGTTTTCACGGTGATAAATTGGTCTTCATTGACTTTTGTTGTCTACTGCAGACATTGACGAATGCGTCAGCAGTTATCACAGGTGTGATCCAAACGCTGTTTGTCAGAATACCGTGGGCTCATACATTTGCACTTGCACAGCTGGATTCTATGGAAATGGAAAAAAGTGCTTTGGTAACTATCACAATCCCTTTTTTATGTTTTCCCGACCTTTGCATTCTGGTTGGCTGTTGAGTTAACATATTTGCCTTTTAAGGTTACTAAGGTACTTTATTCTTATCCAATATGTATAGATCAGAACTTACCAATAAACTAGAAACTAACTAAGAATTACAATGGGCATTCTCGGTCTTCGTTTTGACAATTAATTAGGCACATAGAATATCTGCTAATATAACGTTTAGTGTCCTATCGACTCCTTCTGGGCTCAGGTTTGACATTTAATGTGATATACCATCAAATTGACTGGGACTCTGCGACATGTATAAGGTATTCTACAGACTACTATCAACGTCGTACTTTAGAAAGCTGGTTTACTAACTTAGAACAAACGCCACTGAATCGTTGCCAACAGTTACCAGCGCCGTACAAACGACTTATTGACGAGATCAAGCAAAACTAATTACGAGAGAACGACTGGAGAACTGACAATTTAACTAACAATAGACGGCTGTTTAACTGTGACAATAGACGGATCGAAACGCACCAATTACTTATTACGAGACTTCATAGCCAATAACATCACGGCTTAACTGACAGACGACCAATAACATCGCGCCGTAATTGACCAATCAGTTCAATAACCAGAGTATAATACCATCAACTGACGTCATACAACTCACTTTGACTCTGAAGATGACTACCGCACAGGTTGTCGAAAGGTCAGTCACTGTCAACAACAACGGTTCACCCGGACGATCAAACTCAACCTACTTTTGATGTATTTTTTTGTTCAACTTGTCTATCAGTTGGTTTAAACTTATCATAAATTGCCATAAGTCAAAACAAAGTAATAAAAAATTACCAGCGCTAGCACATAATTTACTTAGTCAGGATTCACTGACTACTCAGATTATCATTTGTTTTCTCCGTCATTAGACATTGATGAATGCAGCAACAAAACCCATACCTGTGATGTGAATGCAGTCTGTAGCAACACTCAAGGGTCTCACAACTGCACCTGCAAACTTGGATACTCTGGAGATGGAAAGAAATGCATTGCAGTTGGTATGCAGCATCCCCACAGAATTCCTGTCACATTGTCTATAATTATTTTATACTGTTTAGTACGGAAAGCTGGTTCAGTTTACGAATATTTTGCCTAAATATAGACAGTTAGGCTTAATTTGGTAAGTTTTTAGCGCCATTATTCCGGCCTGAATTTCTTACACAGTTTCTCATACAGCTTACAGTACAGTGTACAAAAAGTAGATATTATTGTTGACTTTATAAGTCGTAAAGTAGCCATATCCTGCCAAATGTAGAATTAACACGCAGTGCTAATGTCATGTCTTCCAGTTCCTAAGAACTGTGCTGAACTGTACAAAGCTGGAAAACGAACAAGTGGAGTTTACAAGTTCGACCCAGACGGTGCTGGTGCCTTTGACGTGTACTGTGACCAAACAACATCCGGTGGGGGGTGGACAGTGTTCCAAAAGAGACTGGATGGCTCGGTTAATTTCTACCGCGGCTGGAACGACTACAAAAAAGGGTTCGGAAATCTGAATGGCGAGTTTTGGCTCGGACTGGACAAAATTCACCGCCTGACAAAAACTAAAAACAAACTTCGAGTGGATCTCGAGGATTTCAACAGAAACACGGCTTATGCTGAGTACAGCTACTTTGCTATAACAGACGAGAGAAGCAAATATAAGCTGAGTCTTGGAACTTACTCCGGTAATTATATTACTTACTGGATTAAAAATGGAGTTCGGGGAAACCTAAGGTAATGCTAATGATTTTGGCATTTAAGAAATAAAGACTCACCACAGAGATACAGTTAGTCCCACTTACAGTGAAGTATGTAATAATCACACAGCTATCATAAAATTAGAGTAAAGAAAATTAATATAATATGGAGCGTTAGAGTGATTTTACTTCGACTGACCATGAAACGGATTCAATGCTTCCCGCTGTTTTTAGATCTCAACCATCGTAAAATCAATGTTATGTGGAGATACATTCAAGGAAATATCGTTTCTTCCAATTTCATTTTCCAGGAAATGCTGGTGACTCGCTAAGTTATCACAAAAGCTCCTCTTTCTCCACTAAAGATCGAGACAATGACTTGGAGTCTGGTAACTGTGCTACAAGGTACAAGGGGGCCTGGTGGTACAAATACTGTCATCATTCCAACCTGAACGGCCTCTATCATCGCGGAAGACACTCTTCATATGCTGATGGTGTGAACTGGTATCACTGGAAGGGATATAAATACTCCGCTAAACGAGCTGAAATGAAACTCAAACCAGTCAACTTCTAAACCAACAAACAGCGGTTGTCAGTGCTTATATCTGGTTGATTTGCAATGGTTGTTTACATAACTTAGGTGTAACACATTATGTTAGACTGCTGCTGAAATGATAAATTAAGTATGACAAACTATTGTCACAAATTTGATGAAAAAAACTATAAAATAAAAGATGTTACAATAAGCTTTCGCAATTTACGATATTGTTTGTCATTTATACTAACTGCCTTCTGTCCTATTAGTCTTAATTTCTTCTTTCGATTCACTGAACTTAATGGTTTTTAAAATACTTCTCCAATGCTTGCTTTATATATACGTTATGGCGTATTTTCTATTTTAAGTTTTAAATTCCAAGCGTGTCCATCCCCCCTTGGGCATTTTCCTCTAGAAACGGTTAACAGTGTTCCTTTATCAATATTTAACTTGCCAATATTTAACTTTAAATATGCCTATTTTGATAGCTGTTGACACAAATGCTTAACAAATGCCGGGAGGAGGGGGTGGGAGGTGGCGGGTGTGGGACGATGGGCACGCTTGGAATTGGCTGAGCCATTATTGACCGATGGCTGGATATTGGCCAAGTTCCTCTTTCCGGTTTTATTGACCGAGACGAGGCCAATATACAACCATCTTGATCGAACAAGCTTAGTCAATAAAGGATTTATTATATAGCCCAAAAGACAACATTTTCTTGGGGACCAACGCGAGAAATCCTGAGCACGCTTGGTTAGCCAATCAGAACTCAGGATTCGTTTCATCTTGCCGCCCACAGATTCAGCCATATAATAATTGAACGCTAAGTTCACGAGTTAATTACAGCCCAGAGTTCTTTTGATTAACTTGCGCTCTCATATGCGATAGAGGTGTAGAAACTTTTAGCAAGCGCATTCCGAACAAAATAAACTAACTTTAAGAGATTTTTCACCTTACCAAAAAAGGCAACTGATACAAATCACGCGCATTGCATATCAATTACTCATTGAGCACTGAAATAAGACCTGAAGAACGAACAAGGAACATTTCAGTTAACCCAACAGCATTTCTGGTCATTTCAGGCTGTCTTATCGTACAGTAAGCTGCTGTCTATAAATTAAAGGTTTATTATGTTTATTATATCAACTTTTCTTTAACATTTCACTCACTGAAGCTATCTTTTCAGCTTTTTCGAAATATCACATGAACTGTCTTCAGAAATACGAAAAAAAAAAACACACAGAAAAATATAGCTTTCTGAATTCATTCATGTAGAGATGTGCCGCGCGACCTTTCTGGGTTTGGGGGAGGCAAGGAAATTAGGTAAAAAATGATGATGTCGAACTGCATGGAATCATGATAATACATACATGACAGGTTTTGTGATAAGAGAGCTTTTTTTCTTCAAAGTCATATCTCATCTAACGATGTCGAACGAGGAGCCATACAGAAAAAATACTGGCAGTTTCGATTTTCTTTTCTCTAATATCATCAGTGACATCTAGTTGTCAGTTAATTGATGGAACGCGCGAACGTGGATGTACATTGTATAACTGATTTCAATTAATTCTGGTTCACACAGTTTTTCAGTTTCCACTTTTTATAAATTACATCTATATGACGCTTTAATAAGAGAAAATATAAGTTCTATGTGTCACGTGTCAGGATTATTACACCACGGTGTTTCTTGTACATTGCAGTGCAAGTTCACGTTGAGAATCACGCACGGTGCCCCATTAACAACAAGATCAGTCTTTTTAGCAATGTTGTACTTGACTGTTGTAACTCCTGTTTCCCTGTCTCTCTGAAACGATACCTGAAAAGACAACATGAACACAAACAAGGAATTTCAAGATTTCAAGTCTAAAGAATGAAAATTCAGATCAGGAGGGTATCTAATAACAACTGAAGACTTAACTTCAACGGCTTAAAAACGGCGCGATTATATATATTCTTCTCGATGTGAATGAAATTTCCGCCTATGATAAACGTTATGCTACCGTTTGAAAACCAAGACGTAAACTAGCCTGCGCGAACAAGCTCCCTCGATTCGGGAGGGGGCATCGGGGACAGAGGGAAAAAGAAAGAGCGCTTGGGCGCGCGTCTCAGTAATTTTATATCTGCATTGAAAAAGTGGACGCGAACGCCATTGAGCAAACGTTCTTGTGTAAGAGCGAAAGTTGGATGGGAAGCCTCCTGTTCCCGCCACAGCTTCTGTGTTAAGCAAAGAAATGCTTACTACGCAGAATATTCCAAACAAATTTAAGTTTTCAATTGGACGTAAATTAATTGGAATTTCTCAATAGATAAAAAAAACTGTCTTGACAGTTTTGACTGCATTGGTGAAGGGCGATGTGAAGAGCAGAAATAGTATTTTAGGTTTCACAGAAAATCCATTTTTTTTTTCACGGCAATACTCAAGGATTTTCATCCAGAAGGAGCTCTAACTGTGTACCTCTTATTAGCCGCCAAAAAAACTAGCACAAAAACAACAACAACAAAAAACATGTGATCCGTAATTTACAGGATTGGAAGTTACATCGTGGGTAGCAAGATATATATCATATGACTTTCTTTTTGTGGAACAAGATCTTGGTGCCTTACAAACGATTTTACAGCACAAGCAAATAAAAACGCACTCCATGATTCTCTAAGTTGAAAAATAAAACTATTTTATCGTTTTGATGGCTTTTTCGTAGATAGGCGCACTTATTGTTGCATGATTGAAGAAAAAAGAAAGATCTCTTGGTCCGTACACAAGTTACAAAGAGAAAATTTACTAATCACAGATCGAGAGATGACTTAACCACGGTATAAACAAGTATCAGCTACCTACATGTAACTGTGTACCAACCCACCTTCTTCTGGTCATAAAACCTTGCGTAGTCTCGTTTTCTTTTCTTTGGGTCATGATCGTGTTTAAACGTTTCATAACCTGTTGTTATTTGTTTGCTGCTGTGGCGATAAATCTAAAATCAATATCAACATCGTCAAACAGTATTAACCTTAATAACCACGATGAAAGAAGTAAGAGTTTGTAACGAAAAAAATTGTGACATTTGAGACTATCAGCTTAGGGTACTTATACAATGGGAGATGGAAGTAAATGGGATGTGGAGCATAGTGAACATTGAAAAAACTTTGAGTCCTCCCCCGCCTCTCCCTCCGTTCCACGCTCCGTTCCCAGCTGCGTTCCCCGCTTCTTTCCCCGCTCCGTTCTACGCTTCTTTCCCCACTCCGTTCTACGCTACGTTCCCTGCTCCGTTACCCGCTCCGCTCCCTGTTTTAAGTTCTGTTCATTGTAGACCAAAGAAGACTAAGTTCTATCTTCTGATCACTCTTGACAATTATTGAATTAGTACTACACCATTGATCTCATATAGACGCCCAAGGTTAAGCCAGGTTGTTCGCTAACAGTTCCCAGCAGTATACTAGTCTTAACAACTATACTAAACAGCTCGTATTTTCGCGAAGGTCAAGAACGCGCGAGCAGTCAAACGAAAGGTCTGGAGCGAGAATGAAAACGGAGAGTGAGACAAGAGAAGGTCTCTTCTCCTCACCCAGTTGATTTTGAGACAACTGACAAACTGACGAACGAACTGACTGTTTTGCACAACCTACTAGTGATTTTTGCTTTCAGCGACTGGAAAACCTAGTTTTAGCACTTCAAACGAACGCCGGTCACTTAGGATTCCAAAGATGCAGCACCATCATCCCGGCATTGTGAGGGTATAATCTTGTCAAGTTTAACCCTTAACAATTTCATGGGCTCCACATTGTTCCAGTAGGAGAAGCAGCAGAGAGGTTGGTGTTATCAATTTAGTTGATTCAGTGCGTGAATAATATAGGCCACAACAGAGAGATCTACTAACATTACTGGAGTTAAAGTTCTGTTAACGGACACTCCCGTGAGCAGCAGTCCACTCTAACTTATTACCAAACTGCTAGTAGCAGCTTACGACTAATGATAGAGTTGCTACAAGTCGACCTCTCATAAGTTCTCATAAGTGAGCGAAGCGAGCTTCAATGCACGAGGTCGCACAGCGACCGAACGAGCGACAGAAAAAATACTGGACTTTTAGAATGTCTAGATCAGACTAACGAGGATCATTCCTATATAAAATGGCCACTTCCAGTTATGGACCCTGTTCTTGTGTTTTCCAGGAGTGTCCTCTTGCATGAGCTTCAGTGGTATTAATAATATTATTACTTACTGATAATTTAGCTTCTTTCATTCTCAAATACAGTTCATCATCTTCACGTCCCCAACCCCAAAATTTGTTGGAAAGTCCATTGACCTAAAATAAACAAAGAATGATGTTGAAGTCATATATTGCAAATTAAAGTTATTGAAGTTATATCAAATAAACCCGAAAGGTGTTTTTGGTTTTTTTTGCAATTGCTTAAATTGCAATAACCATAGCGACCATCATATCTGAACATTATAATATTTCCTCAGTTCACATCATCTTCATGCTTCATTCCTTTGACGGGTTAAGATCAAAACTCAACAAATTGGCCTCCCCCAATGTATGGGTCTTCATGGTTCAAATGGTAGAGCACTGCAGCGCTAACTCAGAGGAAAAGGGTTCGAATCCCATCGAAGTCCCGAAAATATTTTTCGGGTTATTTGCTTAAACTGCAATAACCACTGCGGCGATCATATCTTCATTTTCTAAAAAAAACTTTATATTTTGTGATTAACTTGTGGTTACAGAACAATAAATATACTTCAGGGGTCACCTTGTTCTAAGTTAAAAATTAATGATAGAAAGAAAAGCCCAGCCAAACATCAGGAGCATTAGACAAGTAGTGAGTGAGAGATCCAAGAAAAATGAAACTAAACATTTTCCAATAGTGTATAAAGCAACAACTCCAACAACGGAATCTTTTCTTTTTGAGTTTACTAATTTTGGCCGTGACAGGGTTAAGGACACTAACTCTGATGGCCCTGACAGTGTGTGCAATAAAGAAAGGTTTTTTCTGTATAGCAAACACCTAACCACTTGCCACCAAACAGTAGAAATCAGTCTGGATCTTTGCCTGGAGTATCTTTATGCTGGTAAAATAGAACAAGAATGACCTACCTTTTCAAACTGTGCCACTGACATTAACAGAATTCCTCCCACAAATGTTTTGTAGTGATATTTTGGGTGTAAAAATGGTGCCGATACATGGAAAGGTCCCTTCTCAGGGAATCCATAATATAAGTCTTTGTTGAGTGGAAGTAAATCCACATCATGCATTGCTATGTAGTCACAATTATTCCTGGCTTCCAGAAATCCAACATTTAAAAGGGATGCTCGATTAAATCTGCAAGAGGATTACGGTAGTAGCTGATACAAACAAAATGAGAATGATGCTGTCCTCAAGTTAACAGTAGTATCCCAGGTAAAATAGCAGTCAAAACTAACAAAAACCCTTTTTTAATCTAAATAACACAGCCAACATTCACCCTAACACATTTACTAATTTTAGGGCTGTGCTCTAGCAGAGCACGGTGGCCCCTGGTGCATAACTTTTGCCCTCGGGGGACTAGAAAATCTCAGATTTTTCATACAAATCATATGTTGGGCACCCTAGATTTTACAGTTTCAGAGCACTGGGCTCCGTTCAATTTTCATTAGAGCACAGCCTTTCATGCAACTTAATTTTCACAGTTTTTGCAATAAAAATTTTTAAAAAATGTCAATTATAGATGTCACAAGAAAAAAAGCAGCGACGTGTTTTTCAATACGCTACAGCTTCATTTCCCAAGGGTCCATTTGAAAAAAATGATTCCCTTCAGATAAGACACAACTAGTGAATATCTTACACTATAAGACATAGAGATTCTTAATAGTATGAAATTAACCTACCTATGCTTATCAACTTGGTTGACAATAAATATTTTATGTTGTACTTTCTTGGCATTTAAATAATTATGCATGTGAGGAACAAATTCCAGCAATTCCTCAAATCTGTCTCTGTAAGGCACCACCACCCCAAGTTGATGTGGTCCCCAGTTATCATCAGGGTGGGTACTGTCTAAAATAAAAAAAAAAAAATGTATATTTTTCCTTTTAACTGATCTTTGTTATTGTCCTACTTACTGGAGAGAAAAATTCTAAATGACAATTATTGTGAAGGTGGAAATATTCTGCAAATTTGATCCTGCTGGCAGGAAAATCCCAACGACAGACCTATGTGGAGGAGACTTATCAAACCATGCTGAACCTTAAAACAGTCTTAGTCGAATCAACTGACTGCAGTGATGATGATGACGATGATATTGCAACTTATTATAGAATGCCTGTAGTGTGTTTACCACACAACCCCCAGGCCACCCACCCTTATTTATACTGTCTCAGGTTAGAGAAGTCACTTATTACAGGTATTAATGACTTCTCTCTACCTCCTTCCAGGCTTTTGATAGGATACCATAAATATGGGTAAATTATACAGAATTTCCAGGAGGTCACAGTATTAGTCCGCAGAGTGTTTTACTGTTACTGTATATGTAATTTCTTGTGGATAATCCCTGAGGAAAGGAGTTTTGCTCAAGATGCAGAGTTGATTGAGAGGGGGCAGTTACTTAATGGATGATTTAGTGTTTTTGTTGTTTTTGGCATTTTTTTGAAGAGGAGATTTTTCAGAATTACGTCGAGTCTCCCGCATGGATCCCAGGCGAAAGTTCAATATCAACTTAAGCTTAATTTGTTTCATGATCATCGGTTTCAATTTAATATATAAAACGCTATGTTTTCGAAAGTTATGTTGCAGAGTACTTCAAAAAAAGAGAGAGACGTTAAAATAATGTGCTTTGATCTATCAAAACAAGACTAGGTTCCACATGGAACCAGCATTTTACAAATAGCAAGGCGTCGAAACGACACGTCACCAAGCAAATATATATCATCTTACAACCCTGTAAAGCCATCAGTGTAAATTTAGTCTAGTATTTTCAATGAGTCCTACCTATTGTAGTGTCTTGCAGAGAATTCCCCTCGTCTCTCCGATGTTTCACTGCAACACTGTCCTGATTTTGCGAGTGCGGGAAATCGTGTTCATGTAAAGAACTCGATAATTTAGAGCGCTCAAAATATTGTGAACAATTGCAGTCATTATCACCGAGATATTTCATCGATATCCATATTGTCCCAGCAACTGCAAACGTTAAGTAAAACAGCATCCCTAGGATTACTCCTCGTGGTACAAAAGCCATGGATGCCCACTAAGTTACGACTAGTCGGCTCAAATTTAGCCGAATGCAGTGTGTGTTGATACCAGTCTGATCGATCTCAGCTTCTCACAGCAACGTTCCTCCTATACTCCATCGGAGAATTAATGGATGGCCTTGAAAGCAACATGTCTGTAAGGAGTCCCTGATTGAACCTGCTTTTAAGAGAAAATGCTCCTCTGTAGAATAACTTCCGCAATTGCCATTATGCTCTCTCGCTCAGCTGTAGATTTATTATGAATTTTTCTCATTATGGCAATTGTTGTTAAGCCCGCAGTTTAACAGCGGATAAAATCTTTGCGCATGAGCAGTGAACTCCACGTGCTGAGGGAACTGAGGGAAGCGTTCTTCGTGAACTGCATGTTGAAAATGGTGTCTTTTATTTGCAATGCGTGTGGACAAACCGTCAGGAAAGCTCAGGTAGAAAAACATTATCAAAACGAGTGCCATAATTGTAATGTTTTGTCGTGTATTGATTGTGGAAAGGACTTTCATGGTGACGAGTATACTGGCCATACTTCTTGCATCACGGAGGCAGAGAAGTATCAAGGAAAATTGTATAAACCAAAAGATAAGCAGAACAAAGGCGAACACAAGCAGCAGGAATGGCTTAAGGTGATAAAAAGCTATAGAAGTATGGTTATTAAATAAGGAAGCCACATTTGCGTTGTAGTTTTTAGGGGGAGTATCAGTAGCTGCGCGCCAGTTTTTTTCTCCGATTTCGCAGGTGAGCGCGCTCCCTTTGGTCACACGTGCGATCCAAATAGAGATGGCTGGGGATGAGTCAGGGGAATCAGGCGCAAATCACTCTAGTATCCCACACAGACATGTATTTCAATGTGTTTACGAGGTTTATTTGCATGAGAATAAAAAAATAGTTTTATGTCAATTGCTTTGCACTTAGCCTTGCTATGAAACAGAGGCTTAAGGTAACTCAGAAATAGCGTATTCACAAATTATATAATTTATTATTTATGTACCACTTTCACTGCATTATGTTCTACGTCCCTGCAGGGCTCGACGTTGCGACCTGTGGGGTCGCCAGTTTGACCAGCTTTTACACAGTGGCGACTAAATTTTCACCTGGCCCCCAAGATAGCTGACTTTCTTCTCTGGGAAAACGTACACTAATGATAATCTTTTGTCCTTCACAAAACTAACAGATAGCTAACAGTTTTTCTAATGCTCTAACGTTTTTCCCAAACACTCTAACGGTGTGTCCAAACCCTGTAGTGATTTGTCTAAATGCTTTAAAGATTTCTTCTAACAATCGAACGGATTGTTCTTAAGATCTAATGGTTGGTCCATCTAACATTTGACTTTTACTTGAAAGAGGATTGTGAAAATCAGTAGCGATGAATTTGGTGGAAGTCTTATCGACTTTAGGGCAAATCAATCGCAGTTCTTAACAGGTTGTCCTGTGTTTCTCTGGGAATGACTTCTAGTGCATCAATCAAAAACAATTTCTTTACGTCGAACATGTATCTCGAATGCGGACTCGATAGCAGAATCGAGAATGAATGGCGCTTACTTCTGAAGCTTGTTGTAAACAACTTTATGCAAATTTCTGTTGAGCATGCAACCCAAATAAAAGCTCTGCCATATTTTATTGACTTCTAATGAAGTACCGTTGAAGTCATGCTGTTTGTCGAACAGACTTTCACGAAATCAACTTCTTTGTGCGAAACAAATGTTTGCAGATTTTGTTCTTTAATAACCCAAATAAGTTTTTTTGTGATTCTTATTTAGTTTGTTAATCTAAATGTGTATTCCATTTCTTGAACCTTAAGCTTGAATACCTGTTCGAGTAGATTTATGCTTGAGTGCAGGCTAATTTTCCCGAACACTGGCTGCTAATCGAGCCTCGAGCAAAAACCGTTCATGAAGCATTCTTTTTCTGTTAAGGCTAAGTAAAATATGTTAAGTTTATTGTATCCATTAATTCTTAAATATAATTTTTGGTGACTAGAATATTTATTCTGGCGTCCAAAACTGAAAACTTGGGGGCCAGCTGGCCCCGAGATTTTTTTCTGAAAGTTGAGCACTGCCCTGTAATGATGACTTAACTTAGGACACCTAATGATCACCTCATAGAGGATGATTATAAACAAGTTACTGAGTCTGAACGGGGAAAAAATAATGTATACATTAAGTTCTACATTATAGAATACACTGTAGAGATATGCCTGGTCACTTCAGACAGTATACATATACATGTATTTCAACGACTTGTGATTTGTGTGTTTGCAGCAAATCAGAGAGGCAACAAAAACAGATGTAGTTGAACCTCGACTTGCTGCCTTGCTAGACAGAATCAGTGAATATTCTAATATTCCAAGAAAGAAAGCCAAATTCCAAGTAAGTGACAATGTGATTGATGTTGGTGCTCAAAATGGAGCCTGACAGATTTCTCTGCTTTATGTTTTTGTCTTTTTTTTGACTTGACAGAGTTGAATGGCATTCCTATCTTTTTTAACTAACTTAACTTAAAAAATGCCATTAATTTTTTTATCCACAATGTGTGAACAACCAAGGACAAAAGATTTTGTACTTTTAGGGAGTTCTCAACATAAACTAATAGAACCTTGTTATATTATTTGGATTTTACATGTGCATTGTATCAGGTTCTTCATTAAACTTAATTATAATTATTATAATTAAATGATAATTTAATCGAATTTCATAGTACTGTGGAATGAAGAAATAATAGTTGCAAAGGAGATCTCTGCAGTTTAAGACAACTTGTGCCATTGCAAGAAGAAAGCCATTTTCCTTTGTTTTAAACTCATTAATTCCCACATACAGTTACTAGGCACCATAAGAATAATTAACTTCGATGAATAAAATACCTGTTATGATGACTTAACTTGGAGACCTTATGATCAAATCACAATCAATGATTACAACCAACTTATTATGTCTGAACAGGTAGTGGATCCTTAAGTAATGATTGTTACAAAATAATTATGTGTGATAGTAATATTAGGATTTTACGTTAATTTGTAAAACTCATGCAGTACTCCACTGTACTTTTATGCACAGTTCACCTGGAGCTGTCTTTACATTAATTTTGTAACCTTACAGCTCAGTGTCACAATTGCATGTGAAAGTGAATAGTTCCACCTCTTTCATGGGGGAGTCATCTACATGTTTTTGTCCCATAACTTCCATACTGATGCTGTGTATGTCATAATCTGGTTGTCTTGGGTTTCCAGATTTAAATTTGTTCAAGGGTCTTTTCATTCTTGTCACTCGTGTTGGAACATTTTGGGTTTTGGTGCCAACTTAAGACCAAATGTTTCTTGTAAAGCAAAAAATATTTCTAGAATATGAGTTTCTCTAGGTAGACTCCAAAGCTCATTGCAGTTTGATTTTTGTGATATTTTGTCTTTTGTTTGTCATTTCTAAACAATAGCTAAAAGAATGCAATATTATTATACTTTGTCATTTAGTGGCAGGGCCTGACCAGATTCTGGACAGATTTAAATGTGCATCATCAGTATGGAATTTTTGGGGCCATTGTAAAAATGGGACCTCAGTTGTTTTGATGGAAATAATAGTTGTCACTCAAGTTCCTTTTGTGCCAAGAAGTTACTGGTATTTCTAACTCTAGAAATTGACTCAACAGAATTTTTGCAGAAATAGTATCAATGTGCGAGATGTTACAACTCTGGACAAACTATGGGATATTTTTTCAGCAAGTTCAAAGGTAAGAAAAGCCTGCATGTACAGTTGGTGTAGCAATATTTTCGAGCATAAGGAAACATACAGAGCCCTCCTACCCATCTTGGTCCTTGTATTGGTTTTAGTAAAAGATGCCATGTACAGCTGTACCATAAATCCTTATTTATGGTGCATAAATTAATTAACAAAATTTACTGGATGAGGCTGAGTATCTTATGAAGAATTATGGAGATCGAGGAGGGTGTTATCGGCCTTGACGGATAACACCCTCCGAGATCTCCTTAATTCTTCGTATGATACGAAAGCCGAATTCTATAATTGTTTTATTATTCACTCAAAATAATTACCAGTTCAAAAACATTTCTAAAACGTGCTTACCTCCATCAATCCATCGATGTTAAATTCAACTTCGATAGTGCACATTTAGGGTTGTTCAGCTCCACAAAATGGCTAAAAACATGGCAAGAACAACAAGAAGACAACTCGAAGGGCGGCATCTGCTATTTGGAGAATATTTAATATTCTCCAAATAGCAGATGCCGCCCTTCGAGTTGTCTTCTTGTTGTTCTTGCCATGTTTTTAGCCATTTTTTCACCTAGTTCTTACTCTTGAAACGAGTGAAATGTCCGCCATTTTTCAAGTTCACAACCAAAACAACTCAACTTCGTCCCCAGGTCTTCTCGGTTAACGGTGCATTAACCTGCAAGAACGCTGCATTTTTGACGTCATTTCCTCGCTAAACACAACATTCTTCCAAATTTGGTCATCAGAAACTGGTTATGTTGAATTAAACGTGTGCTTTTAGCCAATCAGAATGGGGGAAATATTTTGAATGAATAATAAGTGAAGATAGTGGTAACATTTTGCCTTAAAAACTAGAACCCAAAGTGGAAAAGCTCAAGCACACGAAGTTGGAGGTGACCATGCAGCCAAAGAAAAAAGCAAATCCAAACTTCTGGCACATGAATAAACCATCCCAGATTAATCTATGTGCAGTGTTACAGTCATGCTTAATTAATACAGTCTCTCAATGTTATAAGAACAAGTGGGGGTAGGGGAGGGGGGCTAAAAAGAGAGGGAGAACTTAATAACCTTCTTCCCCTGAAAAGAAGAGGAGGGATGCTTATTAGAGGAATTATGGTACATGTAAGTAAGAACTGTCTCTTGGAAGTGACGTATTGATGGTGAAGTGATGCATCAGCTGTCATTAATGCCATATGTATCAGTACACTGGGTATTTTTTTTAACAAAATTAACAGTGGAAATAATGATTTTTGTGTTCTTGGAACTGTACATCCTTGTAAATGGCTTTTTTTTTTCTGTGTGATGAAGTTAAAAGAGGAACCAAAGTACCATATTACACACTTGCCATATTTTTATTGTGACACTGGACAGGCCAATCAGAGTAGTTAGATTAAGTGTAGAGTGGGTCTCCAGCAGGGTCTGTGTGTTGAGATGCCTTTTAAAACCTGGCTTCTTCATTTTTTAGTTGTATTAAATATAATTGTGTAGGCTTCATGGTGGCTGAGTGGCTAACACTTACTTACAACATTTTTGTTTTCATCTCAGCAAAGCCCACAACAAGATGAAACCAGTTGTAGTAGTAATGGTATACATGAAAATGGAAAAAGTGGACTAACATCTCCGCTTGAAGAAAATGTGGACGTTAATATAATACGTGGAGAGGAAATACGGGTCAATGAAGAGAACAGAGAACTTGAACAAAAATCAGAGGACTGTAGTAATGCTAAACATTCGAAGAAACATAAGAAAGGTGAAAAAATGAAGGACAATGATATTATACATGAAATAGGATCAGAATTCAAAGGAAGGAAAAATAAAAAGGGTTTGAAAGAAAATACAGAGGTAGATGGACTGAAAGAAAATAAAAAGCAGAAGAAAAAGAGAAGAAGGGAAGATGAAGAAATAGGTAGGTGTTAAAATTTGTATTTGTACAATTTATTTGTCATAGATGTTGTATTTTGCCTGTGCAGATAGGCCTTGTAGCCCTATCCCACAGACGGTTGTTGAAAACCACAACATCTGTTTTCCAACTCAAAGCACCTCTCAACCCTGTCATGATGACTTAACTTAGGACACCTATGATCACCTCAAAGAGGATGATTTCAAGCAAGTTAACAGGTCTGAGCAGGGAAAGGAAATAAGGTGTAATAGTATTTTCAATACATGTGAATTCCCCCCAAACATTGTCTTGCCCATCAAGTTAAGAACTGAATTCCCTAGCCTGATAGTTAAATATCCATTAGCCTTGGGCTATCTGACACTACATGTCCTTTCTTTGAATGCTGGGGACCACAAAAATGTCGTGGTGTTAACAAGGCAGTATTTTATGTTAGAGCAGAAAGAGTGAGGTGTTTTTGCAAGTCAGGGTTCTGCATTAACAGTGCTTAAATCCTCAAGTGAAGTCGAATACCAGTATTAAAAACCAATCTACTGTATGATCTCAACAGGCTACTTAAGGAAGTCTGGATTATCTGGATTTCTCCCCTAGATTATCCACTAATAGTCTGTTCTGGGCATTCAGATTTAATGGAATGTGGAATGAGTCAGAGAGCAGGAAAAAAATAGGTAGGAAGATGGAGAAAAAAGATGCTCTCGCTACCTACTTTACATTTTACCCCTCACTGTTTTTCCTGCTTGCATTTCTTTACACCATCCTCACAATCTGAATCCTCAGAAAAGGCTTGTCCACTGACTACATTTACTTGGTTGTTTGATTGCAAATCACAGATGGACCCTGCACACAGGCCAAAGTTTTAAAAGTTGAAACAGAAGATGCCAAAGAACAGCCATGTAAGTATTTTGATTCATTTTTGCTTCCCCTGGCACCAAATTGGGTGAAGTTGTCTTTTATTGAAAAGGATTTTTAAAGCAAAACACAATTACCATGACCTTCATGCAGCCCTTTGTGTTTAGAGAGGATACTCTGAAAGTCTCATGGGAAAGCTTGAAACTCCGCAAAGTCTCAAAGAAACTCGAAACTCCGCAAAGAGTTCCGAGATTCCACTTGAAGCTCGAAACTTTTTCCTGCTCGAAAGGAAGAGAAGAATGAATGGCGTAATTTTGACATAAATGTATCTCCTTCACACTTCAACCTTACTTCTGCCCTTGAAGCGGAGGACAAATACAAAACTAAAGTGGAACAGAAACTTAGAGAGTGTTATGAAAAAGAAAAAAAAAACTTGCCAAAAATGTTAGACATAATTACCAGGAGATTTTTTTGCGTATTTGAGAAACAAAAAGAAATGCAACAAAAGATTATCTTGCTTGCGAAAAGCTCATGGTCAATCCACTACTAAGTAGTGGATTGACCATGAGCTTTTCGCAAGCAAGATAATCTTTTGTTGCATTTCTTTTTGTTTCTCAAATATGCAAAAAGTACAAGTCTTGTCCTAAAGAGACTGCCAAGTTAGTTGTGGAGTTGTTTGCTTCCTTTTTTACCAGGGAGAAAGCTTGTCTTTTCCTGTTATGATGACTTTACTTAGGACACCTATGATTACTTCATAGTAGATAATTTCCAAAAAGTCAGCAGGTCTCAACAGGAGTGACACATGCTTGCCCAAAAACGCTAACACTGATTATTCTAAATGAATATCTCTTTTTTTCTGATTGGCTAAAAGCTCATAATAAACTGATACCGACCAAAATCATACTCAACTCATCCAATGATATAATATATATATTTTTTTTAGGATTAGGTGTTTGTAGGTATCAATAAATAATTTGATGGAATTTACCAGTATTTCTTGTTCTGTTGTTTGTGCAGATCAGTTCAAATGGAAGTCGGTGATAAAGGCAGTGTTAAGACAAGCTCCAGATCAGGAGTTACCCATCAAAAGATTGAGGAAAAAGGTACGCCCTTATGAGTAACCAAAATCAAAATATGAGAAATTTCATATTATAACACACTGAATTTGTGAGGATATTGCTCGTGAGTGGTCGTACAGGCTGTCACTTTTACAAGGTGGCAAGTCAATAGATTTTAACCTTATGTTACTGTTGATGACGACTAAGGTAAACTATTGCTGGGTTTCAAACTTTAAAGGGCAGAGATTTTCCAAACCTAGGGTTTGTCCCCAATTATTGCTACTGCATCTCTTGTTAAATTTTGTTAGCCTGTGAATCCAGCCATAGCTCCTTGCTCCTCCCTACGAGGGACGTCCCTGGCAGCAAGGAGTAAAGGTGATGTTACACTAAACGATTCGCAACGACGATTTTTACTGCAACTCAGCGTTGCGACAGTGTTGCGACATTGTATCGAACGGTTACAACATTGTTCCAGCATTGCAACGCTTTGTTGCGCTAAAAATCGTCGTTGCGAATCGTCTCGTGTAGCATCACCTTAAGGAGAGACGGCCGTATTCACAGGCTAATAGAGAGTTTTAAATCCGAGTTTACCGCGAACCTCTAACCGCTGGAGGTCATGTGACAAGTTGTTCGCGTCACGTTTGAGGTTTACGACGTGCGTTTTCAACGTGGGGAGGTAGGTTTTCACGTATGTCATTTACCTGAAAGCTTTTAGAGTATAATTCTTGTCTTATCCCACGTCATGATACAAAAATCTTGTGGAGCAAGTCTTTATCCATTAACAGAGGCACAAATTCGGGCGAAATGCTAAATTTGATAAATCCTATTGGATCTTGAAAACAAGTGCCATTCATGGCTGCTGATTCAAAATGGCGGCCGTAAATTTTTAAGAAGAACTAATATAAGAATTTACCGCTCTTTGCTGCTAGATAACCCAGTGTTACCGTAAATTTCTTTTCTTTTCAGTGATTGATATTTCTACTATTTCTAGATGGAAAAATAAACCAGAATCCACTTCTTTAATCCACCGCCAATCTAAATCGAATTATGTTTGAACGTCGAACCGCAAACGGGTAACCGCAAACCGCGGTTAGAGGTTCGCGGTAAACTGGGATCTAAAACTCTCTAATAACTCATATTGACCTGCTACACCTATAACTGATTTGAGTTGAAGAGTGTTAGCTAGGCCAAAATTAATTTGTAGTGCACTGGATCAAAGAAAAAAGGTGGGAAACCAAGACGTCTGTTAGCCTGTGAAAACAGCCGTTTGTCCTTTCTCCTTGCTGCTGAGGACATTTCTCAAGGAGGAACGTCTGCGACTTAGCGACAGAAATTCCATACTGATGACGTAAAATCTGTCCGGAATCCGGTCATAAGCGCTTATTGGACGACGGAGTAGTTCCATTGTTTTAGGTTTACAAAAGGCTGCAAAGGTCAAATGTAAATGCGATGAATCTATAACAAAACAGTGAATATTTGTGGAATATATTCTTCTCTACGAGAAGTATTTGAGTTTTGCTGGAGCTCGTTCACAGGTGAACACAACACCACCAAAGTCGACCAGGAGAAACGTATAATTGAACAAACATTTGGAACCCCTTGTCTACTGGATTTACATGTATTATGTAAACGTTGATTTACGTCATAAGTATGGAATTTCTGTCGCTGAGTCGCAGACGTCTACTTAATGTCTAGGCCCTTGTCCCTGCTGTGATGACTTAACTTAGGACACCTATGATCACCTTACAAAGGATGATTTCAAACAAGTTAACAGATCTGAGCAGGGAAAAGTAGACATTTAAGATGTAAATTATGCGTTAGCACATTTCTAAACAATGTTTTCGATTTTTTTTAGGTTCTGGCAGAATTTCAAGCAAAAGGAACAAATGAGAAAAATCTGACTGAAAACGAGCTGCGAGCTTTGTTTCAGAAGAAAGTTTCAAGCAATCCAAAATTTAAAGTTCACAGGGATAGAGTTAGACTTGTCAAATAACAGTTGAAAGATAAACCTTTCTAAAATGTTCGTGTTCATTGGTGGCGTTGTGTTCCTTGGTGCTTGTTCATCCTTTCTAAACAAGGTCTATCTGTTGTACTGTAAATATTAATGAAATTTAAGATTCTTTCATATGTGGTGTTGTTGTTTGTTTGTTTGTTTGGGTTCATTCTTTGTCTACAAAGACTCATTTGTTATATACACACCAATGGAAATGCCAAGAAATCTTTTGGGTGGAAAACGTACTTTCGCACGTGACAATAACAAGTTGTCTTCCCAGGTGTATAGATCAGCTATGGTTACATAAAAAATCACTCCTTTTGCACGAAAAAAAATATTCAAGTTAAATGGTTTGGTATTTGTACGGCACTGTTGTCTGAGGAAAAAACCTTCCCCTCAGTTGAGAACGTCCTTAGGCGACGGGCCTTGGGCCGTACTAAAATCCTCGATTAGGGTGTTTTCTATACGGGGGAGGGGAGGGGGCATCTGTACGGACCTCCCAGTCGGCAAAAACACAAAAGGACACAACGCGACGAGAAAAGTTGACCTGACAGCACTAGCCCGCTAGCTACGCAGGCTATTCAAGCCCCTGGTCCATTTTGTTAAACTAGTATCATGGAATTGGGATTTTTTTTTTTTTTTGGGGGGGTAGAAAATTGTAGGTACAGCCTACCACATATGATGACAACTCATAGCCAACCTTCACACTCTTCTAAAGGCTTCCAGTCCAAAACGACAAATTGTGACATTATCATACCCTGTTTAAGGGCTTGTTTACATGGCGGTAGGGACCCCAGGTAGGTGAGGTAACCCGCCTGTCCATACAATCTCTCATATTAACATAACAGGTGGGGTGACCATATGAGACATTAGGGAGCTTAAGCAACAATGACGGCGACGGCTACAAAAACGTCACTTAAAAAGTGAATTCGCGCCGCTTCAAACCTTATCGCGCATATTCCATCTTGTTTACTTCGTCAAATGTTGGCAAATGTTTTTGGAGTTGAATTCTAAAGGACTGTATCAAAGTTCAGGAAAGGAAAAGAAAGTTGTTTTCTTGTGGTCCCGTCTTCGACAAAACGTGAATTCAGGCACTTTGACGTTGTAGTCGGGCAACGACGGCAAAGAAATGTACAAAAAAAACGTGATGCACGTGCAAAGTTGTTGTTTTGCCAATCAAACCTATTGCTTTTTTGCCGTTCTCGTTACCGTCCGCGTCGTCGTTGCTTAAGCTCCCTATTATATGGACAGGCGAGTTACCCCACCTAACCGGGTTACCTCACCTACTTGGGGTCCCCCACCTCCACGTAAACAGGCCCCAAGATTCAAGACCCTAAAACCCGTGCCCTATTTAGCGGCTTCTCAGCGGCACATAACCCGTTTAGGCCAAATAAAGGAGTGCCCCCTTGCCTGGTGAGAGCGACATGTAAGTGCGACTGGGTGCGATAGGTATTCAAGGGGTATTGATCAAACTCAAAGACAGCAAACTCAATCATTCTTTAATAGCAAATTAGGTTCAAATAATGTTTAAAAATTAAACTCAACTCACATTTTCTTTTAGTCTGAAATTTCATCCGTCTCCTCTCCCTGACCCGTGACATTTCAGACCAACATATTTTACATTTAATTTCAATTCTTTACTTTTTGAACTGTAATTTCTTTTGAAATTCCTACGTTTTTGAATAATAGCTGGTGTTGACGTTTCTATTTTCCCCACTTCTCAAATCGTCAATACGAGCAGGACAGTACAACACCGTTAATTCAACCACTGTTGGACCATAAAATCCTGGTCGTATTAACGAGATCTTCAAAAATAATTAAATAACCGCTGTTTCTTTTGTTTGGGTCGAACGATAACGAATTGGTAAAAGGGTTGGTCATAAGGCGGGGTTCTACATGGCCAGTATGGTATCAAACTGAATTTCTTTCAGTCAAACGCAACGACCAATCAAAGAGATTGAATTTACTCAGGCCTTATAATAGGGACTGGGAGTGCGAGATGGAGCTTATGATAAGTAATGGTTTCTTTCGTCTCCATTTCTGTTAACGTTTGATCCAATCAAAAACTCTCACATTCTGAAATTGACACAAAAATAAAACTGCACGCAAGAAAGGCATTTACAAGAACTGTATTAACACAATGCTGCTGCTTCTGTTCATTGTTCTGGTTTACACCATACCATAACTTGTCCCCCTTTTCTTCTATCCCACCAATTAAATAAACTTGCAACTACACTGTGGTTTATTGACGTTTTCAACACTATTTCTCTGGAACTGAAATCATACCAAAGCAAGCTTTTAGTGAGCTGACCACCAGGTAAATTTTCCCTGTGCTAGCTCTTATAAAGGGGTAAATGACATTCTAGATAATAGGTGTAGAAACCTGTCAGCGAATAAGATTTTCTGGTCCTCAATATATAAATACAGTCGAAGCTCTCGTAAGCGACCTCCTCGAAAATTCGAAAAAGTGGTCGTGCCTAGCGCTGGTCGCTTACAAGAATGAGCGCATAGTAAACTAATAGGCCACTTCCGGGTTCCAAAAACGCTTAAATTCAAAATGAGGCCAAGTGCACAACCTTTTTTGTGAAAATGAGTGTTACTTGTATGATTCTATATCAAATTAAAGGCTGAGCACTTAACCTCGTTTTGATACAGAGGCCCAGGGGAACTCGGCAATGCCTATGAAGGGTAGTCGCTTACGAGAGCTTCAAAAACTCATTAATAATTCATAAAGAAAAACCAGGAGAAAATAATGGTTAACAAAAAAACATTTGTTTGATGTCTTTAAATCTAATATAGACAAGGCTAAACTTTACGACCAATTTTTCAGACCAGAATAACCCCAAATCTAAATATTATTTTGACATCACCTATGATCTATTACTGAACAGACGCACGGCAACGTGGAATCTATTTGTTAAGTGCAAGAATGGGTTACAAGAACTTAAAAACAACGGAGAAGTCCAGCTAGGTAATCCCTGAAGTGGTCGCGGTCGCTTACGGGAGCGGTCGCTCAAACGGGGTTTCACAAAGGTGGTCGTAACTAGAGCTGGTCGCTTACGAGAGTGGTCGCAAGGAGAGCTTTTACTGTAACAGACTGAGGACTAGCAATGTATAATCCCTGTTAAAAGTCCCGGGTCTAGAACGAAAACACAACAAGAACAACTTGACTCTTGCATAATATTTACAGCTAATTAACTTTTTGGGAGCATGAAATTAAACCCGCAACATTGCTTTTACTGAAAACGTTCTAACAGATAAGATCAAATCTAATTCACAAAGAATTAGACAAAATATCTGTGCAGATGAATTAAGTTCCGCGTTACATAAACTACCCTACATGTATTTTGGTCTCACTGCTCATCACAAAAGGGGGCCTTGGCAACCCAGGACCCTCCTGTATACCATAACCGAAGGATGAGTGCATTTCCTTCAAAATTTATAAATATGATTTGTCAAGAGTGTCAATTGGTGTTATTTTGCACCTCTAAAAATAAACCAAGCCAATATAACGGAAACTAAACTAAAAATAAATAATGACAAATAATAGTAAACTGTTGCATATCTTTACATCAAAGCCTTAAAAAATACAACTAAATCTAATATAATTTCTCATTAATATAAAGTTTTTTTTTAATCTTAATGTTCTTGTGTAGATTATTAGTCCTCGTCATCATCTTCATTACCATTGGTTTGGTTGTTATGATTGACAATACCATTCATGGTAGGGCGTGGTGGAATCATTGGCCTTGTGATGTTAAAAGTCTTCACGATCTCCTAAAAGGCAAATGTTTTCCAAAGACCGTGAACAAAAGTAATATTTTAGCCTGCAAATAGAGCCATCTCTCCACACTCCTCACCGCTAAGGACGTTTCGCGGGAGAGACGTCTGCGAATGGGCGGCAACAAATCTTAAATACTTCTTATAAAGAAGAATATATTCCGCGAATAATGACGGTTTTTTGAGTAGATTCAAGGCATTACATTACATTTGATCTTTGTGACCTTTTGTCTTGTCTGTTATTTGTAAACAATAGTAACCGGTTTTTTTCTTTTTGGTAGATTCAAGGCATTACAATAGTAACTATATATTTTAATTTTAAAACTCACCTTATACTCAGCAAGAGTGAGATTAACAACTACTTGCTTCTTTCAATTTGTTCGTCTTCTGTTGGCATTTCATCATACGCTAAATACAAGAGATATTCAGGCTACATTTAAAAAAGGGACCTTTTTCCTGTACATGATGGTAACTACATCTCGTCATGTCCATATAGATGAAAGAATAAGTCATTTTCTATTGTACACGTAGGTGAAACCACTTCCACTTAAGGCTAACATGCATTGATGTACAGTGTACCTAATTCACCTGCATGGCTATTGGTAAAATTTCAAGTTGCCGGGGGTATATGCAATTAGTGTAAAGGAGTCGTCCAGATAGGAAGTTATTTTGATTCCGTTTTCCTTTTTTTTTTTTATGAAAGTAACCGGGGCTCATGCTCATAGTAGCTGGGGGAAATCCCCAGCCCTCCGCTCTTAGTGAGAGCCTTGACCTGAAAAAGTATTCCAAGCAATGATCATTTTGGTTACCACGGTAATTACTAACAATTTGAAATGGTTGAAATGCAATGAACACATTACACTTCCATATGTTGTGATGTTTAAATTAACAGCTTGACCTCTAATATTGCACAAAGTCTTCTGGCAAAGATTTTTTTTTGTCAGGCTACTTTGTTAGTAATTCCAAGGCAGCTTTGAAAAAAGTTGAGTTTGGAGCACTAACTGAAAAAATGAAGTTACATCAATCATAATTTTATCAAAGAAGATTCAGTTCTCAATCACTATCTTCCTGATAGGGACTTGTCTTACGAAAGTAATTTTTAGAAAGGATTCTCTTGTTTTAATACATTACTTACAAACAAATGGTAGTCCATCTTCAAGTGTTATAGCAGCACGGCCATCCTATAAAGGCACGACAGAGTTAAGCTTGACCTTGCATATTATGTACAAGTAATGCTCCTGAAGATTAAGCAAATTCTTAGTAAACTAGTAATAATAAAAACTCTACAAGTTTATCATTATTTTTCTTTACGACATTTATCTGGACTTGGCGTGACTCAGCTAGATAATAATAATCATTATAATTGAAATGATTAACATAATTCACATATTATACATGTAACAGTAGCTGACATTAAGTTTTATGCAACAAAAAAGACCCTTCAGAGCCAATCACAGGGCTGTCACAAAGATTTCAAGTTGCTGGATGGATGCAACAGGGAACCAATCAGCTTGACATTTCTCTTAGCATTACCGGTGTTTTTCCTCTATTTTATAATAATATTAAAGTAGCTGTGGATCATGTTCATATAAGCCAGGGCCCTAGCTCTTAATGACTGTCCAGCAGTTACAATTCAGATGAATGAACTTATTCACTTTTTGACTATGAGTAGTCAAGTAATGCATGCAAATGACACCTTAGTCTTTGGTTGAAAAACAAATCTGTTTCAAAGGCGCCTCTCAACACTTGAATAGACTCTATTAATCGTGTCCTTAGATCTTCATTTTAACTCATTAAAGTCCAGTTTATCAGGGTAAGATAATCAATACTTGTTTACATTCAATTCTGTCCCTTGGTAAACTTGTCTTACTGACCTTCACTAGAAACGATAAATGGAAGAGATTCTCAACAGTCTGACCAAATGAGTGAGGGTTTATGATGAACTTGAATAAGCAGACTGGCGTTATTTCATCCCCTGAAACTAAAACAAAGACCACAAAGATATATCAGCCCTTTAATCCTCAATGTCAAAATGCACATGACTGTTAATTTCTGACAATAAAAATTTAACAATAAATTTTATGGAGGCAGTTAATAAACGTAACTGTCATGTTGGCCCTTAATGTTTTTCTTTAAGTAGTCCCTGGACTGTGAATAGTGTTGCTTCAGATTTGGTAGCAAGTTCTCGTATTCCAGGGTGCTGTTGTTAGCCCTACGCCCAGCCCCCAACCTGGAGGACCAGGTACTACTTTTAGTCTGTCCTCTCCCCCATAACCTGCTTGGCTTAGTTGGACCTGCCAGGAGCTTAAGCCCCTACCAGTATAGCTCATAGAATCACAAAGGCTTTCAACCTCCCCCACCATGACAAGGTAACAGCAGATGGAGGAGGCCTTACAATGCAAGTCCCGGATGGGATGAGAGAGTGAGAGTCTGTTCTGTCCCTGAGCTAATAAGGTCTCACGCTATTACTCGGTAATACAGCTTTGATTACATGTACCAGTACACAGCATGTCTGCATTAACCTTTTCGAATTGGCTTTTGTATTGTACATGATATATCAAGCGTGAGAGGCAGTGTTTCATCACCAGATGAAACACTGAGAAGAGAGTTGAAAATACAATGTGAAGTGGGTTATTTTTGACGAACTTGAGGTGTTTCATCTAGTGATGAAAATACTCTGTTGAATACTTGATATTACTTATCAAACAAAATGATTAAAGAAGGAGAAATTAAGGATGCAAAAATGAGCAGTTTTTCATCTGATTTCAAGACACTCATTAAATGTAATTTCCTTTGTATTTTCCTTAGGACTTATTAATGACTTTGAGAAGTAAACATAAAACACTTCAGTGTTTTCATATTTTAGGTCTTATACCCAATGTTTGTTTGATATATTGGTGGGATTTGTTTCCAGTCTCTCCGATAAAGTATTTCCTTTTCCATGGTAGGATTAGCTCAGTTGGTAGAGGGCTTGATTGCTCAGCGTGGTCGCGGGTTCTATTCCCAGGGCGGACCAATACTCAGGGTCTTAAAATAACTGAGAAATGAAGGTACTCCCATTGCAATGCAAGCGGCTGGACCTTTGCATGGCTCAGATGACCATGTAAAATGGTGGTCCCGTCTGCATTAGGAGATGTACATGTAAAAATAGTGTCCCCAATTAGCACTTTCGTGCTAAATACATTGACACTCAAATAAATTGCCTCTAGCAACTTTTCAACAAAGCTATTTATAGTTCAAAGTTAAAAGCCAAAATATTTACTAGCTGATAAGGGGGAAATAGGCCTCTGGTACCTTACAATCTTTAGCTTTGGGTGATCAGGAAATCTTAGTTTTAGCACCAAATGCAGAGTTGTCACCAAGAGCCAGGGGCCGGAGATTTTCCCAGGATACTATGACTGTGAGCCCCAGCTACTTTTATACGAAACAAAAGGAAAATAGAACCCAAAGAACTTCCTATCTGTACAATTCGCTTCCTACTTATTGCATATACCCGCGAACTTGAGATTTTAGCGACAACCCTGCAAACGTATATGTTCAGGGTGCGCAGAAAATCCTTTTTACAGCTTGCCATTCAGGCAAGCTCAAGCTAGTATTTACTAGCCCAGACGTCATTTCAACTAGCGCAAAAGCTTTTTGACGAGCAGAATTGATTTCACAGTTCATCTGTTATTCGAATATCTCAGAAAACATCACTTGCCCATTGGGCAAGTTAAAAACAGAATTCACTAGCCCACTGTGCTGCAAAGTTTATGTAAAAATCTTTTTTAGTTATCTGGTGATTTTATACATTGCGAAATTAATGGGGCTAATGATTGATAAACCAAGTCTTCTTTGATTCCTGGAATATCAGGCATATCAAGAAATCTTCTTCAATCAATTTAAATAATAATAATTAATTACAATATTCTCAGACCTGTGTTTTCAAAAAGCACTTTATGTATTCTATCAACTTCTTTGGTAGTAGCCTCCTCCTTGGACTCCACTTTGTCAAGCTAATGAAAACAAAATTATTATTGAATTTAATTAATACATGTAGGATTTGCCAGAAAATGAAGAGTAGAGGGATAAAAAAAAAATAGGCGGCAAAAGATTAAATCAGTTTAGCTGCACATGGGGGTAAGTATGGCTGGGGATTGCCCACATACCCTTGTGAAAATGTTTATTTTAGGAGCTCTGAAGAGTGCATTTCAGCATGTTTTGAGCAACAATTTACAAGCCTCAATCTTGGTAGATGACCAGAGTCACCTATATGTTGGTACTGTCACATGCTGATAATATCAATGCCAGTCCCCTGGATATGGACTGACTCTAACTGGCCTTGATGGTCCGCAGTCAGATGTCCACTTAAATACACAAGATTATTCCTTAAACTGTAAGGGTATCCAATCCTGACTTTCAACAGGGCAGCAGTTATCTTGGGTGTCATATTTGACTGCATGACTACACCCTCAAAAGAAACTCCACAATTATCAACAACGACTAACACACGGTAGCTGCTGGCATTAAACCAGTTTAGAAGTCGAATGTCCACTAAAATACAGAAGATCACTTTTAAACTCAACATTACTTTAACTGTCCAACACGCTTCAATAATACATGGCCGCCTACAGCAACACTCCCAAGGTCATTTGCCGAGTATAGGTACTAATGATGTACATAATTATTAGAACACAACACAGTCTAGTGAAGTATTTGTGTGTGTGGTGAAATTAAATCTATAGTAAAGACTGCACAACAAAAACATCCTAGGGGATTTACTATTAGTTCCTTTTTACCTGACTTGGTGTGACTTTTTGGCTTGCATCAGGTTTGTTTTTAGGACTTTTCTTTTGAGCTTGCCGTGATCGGTTTGGTGGTGGTTCCATGGACAAAGGACCAAACCTAATTAAAACCCAAATAGTATATCTTCAAACAAATAACCAATCAGGGCTGTCATTAAGAGGGGGGGCGGGGATTTCCCCTGGCTACTATAAACTTGGCTCGTGGCAACTTTCAAAGGAAAATAGAAGACAATTACACCGTAGAACCAAAAGAAAGCCCTAGCTGTTTGATTCACTGCCGACATGTTGTATTTACCTGGCAACTTAAATACTTAGTGACAACCCTGGGCAATTGTATTAATTTCCTCTAGAATTTGACATTCATTTCCATGAACAAAGGTTGCATTACTTCCATCTCAATACATCTCTTATCCACAGCTAAATCTTGCAAAAAATATGATTGTTTTTTTCTTCATTTGTCTCTTTAAATAACCAGGAAAAAAAAATAGGACAACACTGATAATTTATTCTGAAATTAACAATGAGTCAAACACAAAGGTGATGAAGCACAAATGGACAACAATAGTACAGAATTCTGTCTGTATGACAAACACTAACTGTTAAAGCCTTTTCAGAAGGGTTTCAATAGTAAAAAAGATGCTATCCCGTCATCTTACATAAAGTCAATGCAAGGTGTTCGCCGGAATGCCACACAAGCTTTCTGTCCAAGCTTCTTCCAGTCAAGGCGACCTGGCCTCCGTTGTCTTCTTGTGGACCCCTCTTCATCATCCTCTCTGCTTAAATCATTTATATTTCTGCCTCCCATGAAAGTGATCTGTTACAAGATTAAAAAAACTTAAGCTCACTTTCAATGATGCTGAAAAGAATGCCTGAGTAAACTGTCCTTTATGCATTAATCAATATAATTGGACAAGCCTTAAAGGAGCTCATAGTAGGCTAACAGAACTCTTGATAGAAAGTTCCAGAGGCACAGCTGTGATATAAAGTGGCAAAACAAAGTAGTTCTAGAGTGAAGGAGGGAGAAAAACTGCTTTGAGTTACGAGGGATTCAAGTTCTCATACTTACCAATTTTTGGACAAAGGTGTCACGATCAAATGTAACTAAGTGGGTCTGTAACTGTTGCACTTGCTGACTACCAAGATTTGATGCAAGAACCAAGAAATGAGAATCAAGGACAGCTTCTCTAGTTAGTCTCACTGTGGAGAAACAAAGTATTACATCTGAATTTTACCTATGCGCAGTTTCTTGTTTAACCTCCTCTTTTTCTACTACAATTCCCCTAGAAATACCTATTTAACTTCATGCCTCACTTTCAAACTTTAGGGGGAAGTGATGGGACCAGGTAGAAGTCACTCCCTTATAAATGTTGCAGTTAATTTTTTTATTTCAGGTAATCTTTATTTTTCCTTTGTTTCATATTCATTCATTAGCATATATAACCATACCCAAAAACAATGGAAAAATAAAAATTAACTACAACATAAAATAATATAAGCTATATATTAAACATGTCCAGCACCAAAGGATAATGATCTAACTCTTTGCCTGAAATTGAATATGGATTTTTTTTTATGGCTATGACAGCACAAGCATTGGGGGGCTGTTAGTTGACAGATTGAGGAAGTATGTGCTGCAGTTAAATTTTTACCTCAGGTAATTTTCATTTTTCTTTTGTTTTTGGGTATGGTAATGTACTGTATTTTTCGGTTTTGAGGTGCACTCAGTTAAAAATTAAGCGAAAATACCCGGCTATAAGGCGCAGCCATGATTTTTGAGAAGAGGTTCACCTTAACCTCTACAACACACTTTCCAACAATGCAGATTACAGCCATTTACCCACAACATGAACAAAATCGAAAAAGGTTACATATTTCTATCAACAGCGAAAAAATCACATCAATCAACACAAAAAGCAGTTTTATAAAGCTGCGAATACTTAGGGAATCCCTTTTTGTTCCATAAACAAGTCAGCTGTCTTGGTTTCGGCATCAGTATTGACACCAGGAGATGCAATGTATCAAGATACATCATGCAATACATGAGCCTGGATATTTCGTTCATTAACAATCTGGCAAAATTAAGCCCTTTTGTATAAAAAAATCCTCATAGTTCTGTTAACAGATCTGGGAGCTTTCTCCAGGAAATAAAGGTCTGAAACAAATGCAAGATCGCAGTGTAGAAATGACAGCAAACCAACCGCCATCTTGGGTCAAGCATGCGCTCAAAAATTTGCCTGGTTACCAAGCATCAACATTCAGTTCAAGACGATTGATGCCAGATGAAGCCATATGATTTGTTTCAAATGCAAAAGGATTTGTTTGTCTTTTAATACCAGCTTTAGAAAATGTCGATTTATATTGAATATTATTGTAAATATTTTCCATCATTTTAGATAATTCTAGTTTTTACATTTTTTAACTCTGTAAATAATGTTTTAGCTTCTAGTTTCTAGATTTTATTTTTTTTATCTTGGGGAATCTTTTATACAGGGATATTTATGCATAAGTAAATTCCAACTCCGCCCAAGAGTCCCCACCCCAGGGAATTTGCCATCCAAGGCAAAAAAATGCCAATGCCCTAGGGTCAGCTGGAATTGACTGATGCATTATATAGGGATAACATCTAGATCTCCCCTTTCAAAAGATATTTTGTTTTGTTTTCTATCTCTTGAATAAAGTATTGTATTGCATTGTATTGTATTGTATGGAGTGTCAAGAGACCTCAGGTCATGATTGACACACACTAATAGTGTTACTTTGTCATCTGAACTACACCAATATATTACTGTGGGTTTATGTCTGGTGTGGTTTGAGTGGCTGGCTGCAGGTTAATGCACTCTACCATGGTATGGTACCAGTATCTTAATCTTTATCTTAATCATCACCATGTCATCATCATCATTCCTAAACTGCGGACTGTTGTTTTCACCATGTAAATGAGTAAGTCACAACAATAGTCCTATTGTTTTCTAACCCTAAAACCAATAGTCCGCAGACAGTCCGCAGTCTGCATTTTACACTGCCCTTTTCCATTTCTCCAAGTTTCGAACTATTAATCATCAGCTATACTAAGAAATCCTGATAGCAAGAACAGTGGCACATGTTTCGATAAAAATAGAATCGGCCACCGGTACTCACCACTTTTAAACAAGTTGTCAGCTTTGTCCAAAGCTCTGTGTAATCCTGCTGAGTCAGGTTTGATAAGATCATGTCGGTTTTCTACGAAAACAATCGCCAAACAGCACAAATTAAAAGGAGTCATATAACTAAAACTTCAGTACATCAACTATGCACGAAAGCTTCATGTGCTTCTGCAACTTGACACCTCTCGCAGGACACTTCGATTGTCGCGAGGTTCGTTAGATTTTTGGATCGTATATGACAATATGCTAAAAGGAAAACTGAAAGCACAGCAACATGAAGTCAATGTGCATTTTTTGGTCCTTACTTTGCGTTTCGGCGATCAGTTCACGATATTCATATCGAATTCTTCTTCTTTCCTTGGGGTCTGTGTTGGGATCTCCATGTGGATCGAAATCATCGGAACCTCCACCGCCTTCCTCGCCCATACTTCAGCGAGGAATGCTTGCAGATGATAATAAGAAGGAAATGTATATACTGAAAGGATTACAGCTTTAAATCAAGAGAAAATGAGACGAATTCTAATGATCAAAACATTACCGTCGTGCAACAGACAACTGTTCGCGCGCTTTTTTGCGCAATGCTCAAAGCGCACAAGGCGCATAGTTTGTTACTTTCACCGCTGGAAAACTGCAGACTCAGAGCAGTAGGCATTTGCTTCCGATTCAACGTGGACTAGATCGGCAGATATTTGCAATTTTCAACATGGGAATCCTCGAAAAAATCAGCGAAATAGAAAAAGAAATCGCAAGAACCCAGAAAAATAAAGCGACGGAGTACCATTTTGGGCTTACTGAAGGCAAAGTTGGCAAAATACCGTTCGCAGCTTCTCGAACCGTCGAAATCAGCTGGTGCCGGCAAAGGAGAAGGTTTTGATGTTATGAAATCTGGTGATGCAAAGAGGGCTTTAATCGGGTTTCCTTCTGTTGGAAAAAATCAACACTATTAAACAAGTTAACGTCCACGTCCAGTGTAAGTGCATCGTACGAGTTTACGACCCTAACTTGTATCCCTGGGTGATAGAATACAATGGAGCGAACATCCAACTACTCGATTTGCCTGGGATCATTGAAGGTGCCTCTCAAAGGGAAGGTCGGGGTAAACAAGTTATTGCTGTTGCTCGTACTGCTGATATGGTGGTGATGATGTTAGACGCAGCTAAGGGAGAAATCCAGAAAGTTTACTGGAAAAAGAATTGGAAGATTGCGGCATCCGCTTAAACTGTTACAAGCCAAACATTTACTTCAAAGTTAAAAGGGAGGTGGAATTTCTTTCAATGCCACATGCAGTTTAACTCACTTGGATGAAAGAAGGTGCAGATGATTCTTCATGAGTACAAGATCTTCAATGCTGAGGTGCTTATCAGAGAGATTGCACTGCAGATCAGCTCATTGATGTAATCTGCGGTAACAGAATCTACTTGTCCTGTGTATATGTCTACAACAAGATTGACTGCATTTCCATAGAAGAAGTTGATCGTCTTGCTCGTCTGCCTCACTCTGTTGTTGTAAGTTGTGAGATGGAGCTGAACTTAGACTATCTGTTAGAACAGATGTGGGAGCACCTTGCTTTGCTGAGAGTCTACACAAAGAAGAGGGTGAGCCCCCCAGCAGTGGGGGGCTGATACTCGACGTGGAGCCAATGTCGAGCATGTATGTCATGCGATTCATAGGACACTTTCTGATGTTTTTAAGGGTATGCACTAGTCTGGGGCACCAGTACAAAATATAGTCCACAAAAGGGTAGGGATTAATCATGTTATGAATGATGAAGATGTCATTCAGATTATGAAAAATAATAACACTTTTTAAAGTGGGTGCCCTAAAACAGTAATTAACATTGCAAAAATTTAGACTGCATCCAGCTACAAACCAGTTAGTTTAAATTGATAATAATTCGCTTTTATTAATCTATTCTGGACCAGCAGTGTGCAAAGAAAAAAAGTGTTAGATAGCCAGTGGCTAGTGGGTTTGCAATTGGGTTTCTGAATTCTGTTCTTGACTGCTCAGCGGGCAAGTGAAATTTTCTGGGGAATTCAAATAACAGAAGACCTGCAATCAATGCTTCAATGCTCATTCTTAACTTTTTTTGGTCTGGTTGAAATGACTTTTGGGCTAGTACATGCTTGCTACAGCTTGCCCGAGTGGCAAGCTGTAAAACTGATCTGCTAACAGTGCACCCTGACCAGTGGTTTACCTCGGTGACAAAGTACTTCGATAAAGCTCAGAAATAATAAGCATAGTTGTTGCCTTTGACCATTGGTCATAGTGTTTGACAACTACAAATCTCAGCTGTGTCCTGAGTGGTCCTGAATTGAAATCTGTATATGATTATGGTGTTAATGGGGATCAAGGGGAAATCTTTTATTTATCTAACTGCAATATTATAGTAGGTTCTTAACCAAGAAAGGCAATGGGTGTCATGAAATTTATCAGAAAAAGGGCGAGAGGCATGAAAGCCATAGGGCAAACGTGCATCATGTCAGGCTTATTTATTGCTTGTCTGACAAGAATCACTTTTCATTGATCACAACATTTACAGCTATTTGAAAAAGGTTGTCGGAGAAATGTACACATGACAATCCGGAAGGTAATAGGATATGATCAATATTCTGTTCCTGACACTGTAGCTGTTGAATCTTCCATTGTTGCTTTTTTTAACATTTGCAGACATATCTCTATGGCCTTCGTGTCATTCTTTCAATTTTCTTTGAAGAACAGTGAACTCAAAATTACCCACAATACCTTTCAGGATAGTTGCATGCACCTTTTCCCACCACCTTTC